GCCATGATCCAGCATCACATTTCCTGGGTTACTTGTATTGGGACAAGTGGGCCAGAAGGCAGACTAAGCAAAAACTGAAGTTGAATTTCTCACCAGACTGTCGTTTGGATGCTCAGAGAACTTCTTCCATTCTTACTTGTTTGAATTTAAAAACACACACACATACTGTAGAAACTAAATACATTAAAAATGGAGTTCAGGTCAAATGGGAAGGCAGAGATGAGACCAGTCCAAAGGTAAAGTAAGCCCAGTGGGGTGACCTGAATCCTCTATGACTTCGAAGAGCTGACTGAAAATACCACATAATAGCAGTGGAAGGTGAGCTCCCTGACAATAAATATTCAGTCAGCTGCCTGGTGTGCATAGCCAAAAGAGGGCAGAAACAGAGAAAGATATATTCTCTAATGGGGAAAGTTGGCAGGACCAGCTAGGGTGTCAAGGCCACAGCCAAGCTAGGAATTCAGATTTCATGAAGGAGAACCAAAGATGAACTAATTCATTCATCCCTGTCCGCAAAGGCAGAAAACTGGAGATGGCTATGCCTTGGCTCATCCTGAGCTCCCTGAATATAAAAGTCTGGGTCAACAAGACTGGTTTCAGAGTACACCTGCCGATGGGGCCAAAACGCTATTTGTAGATGTATCTAAAGTGGGAAAAGGCTGGTAGACCAAAAGGAACAAGGCCTCTGGAGTTAGACTGGGTACCGATGCCAGCTCACTCACAAGCTCGCCCTAACCCTGGGCACAATTGTGCATGTGTGGGCTCGTGTCTGCATGTGTTTTTAATTATCTACGCAATTTCTCATGCCATTTCCACCTTGAACTACTGATACTATCTTGAATAACTCATTTTGTCTCCATTTCCTTATCCTTTGAAGAACTAGAACTAACTAATGTATAGGAGCCCTCACACTAGAATATTTGAAGACTATTTTAATCTAATTTCCTTAACTCTCTACAGCAAAGAAGTGTAGGACAGACACAAGTTCTAATACCAGATCTGGAACAGCAACTATTTAAAATGCACTCAGGATTTAATCCCTGTGTGATCAAGTTTCCTTCTCTATAAATTGCACAGAAGAAAACCTACATTTTTCAGGTCATAGTGACATTTAAATAAGACAATATATGTAAAAGAACTAGGTTACATCTCAGCCCAAAAGCCACTAAATAATTTTTTAAGCCTGTAAGCTTTCTTCTTATAGTAACAAAGCCTTCATAACCCACAGCCAAGTAAGTCTTTTGGCGCTGATTTTAAATGGTCCCAGATTGTTAAGCTTGTAGATCTGATTTTTATAGTTTGATTTGTTCCTTCTTAGTGCATTCAGCTACTGCTTCTTAATACCTTGATGTGTTTACTTGTGGTGGGTCCTTTGCTCTTTATTGTTGTTTTTGTCTGTGCACACCAGCCTTAGAAGAAGATAATCAAATTTGCAGAGTTGTATATACTCTAAGAATCAATATGTTTGGAATGCCCTGTGAATAAAATGTTAGGCTGCATGTTGACTTCATAAAAATTATGTTGTCACCACCACTCAATACCAAAGATTTAAAAATGGGAATTACGTTTGCCTTGTTCTTTCCCCATTTACCCTTGATGTCCATCTTTGGAGCTGCTCAGAAGTCACCTGCCTTCTCCTCACTTCCCACTCTGATCAAGCCGTCAGTATCGTTTCTTTTCTAACCCAATTTGTTAACTCCTCACTCTTTTTCACCCCACCTTGGGAAGAATTATAACAGTCAAGGAGCCGCTTCTCATTCACTAAAAACTTAGCTCAGTTCAATACAAATTACAGGTTAGCATGACGTAAACTGTTTCTTTTGGAAGTTAACATCACCATCCATCTTTGTACTTTGTTTCCCTGTTCAGACATGCATTGCTAAGAGATCCTGGGCTTGGACAGACCCACTATATGTTTGCTAGAAAATTCCTCCTTTGTCCCCCTGACCACTGTTATCAAAATCTTGCAGCTATCCTCAGAGGCTCCATCATCATCACCACAAAAGGAAAGGACTCTACTTTATTATATCCCTGCAAGTTCCATGGAAGTCCATGATTACTTGTGATAGAAAAATATAGTGTAGTAGGCAATGTGCCAAGTTTAGCTTTACATTTTCTAATCTTTATACAACTAATGTCTCCTTACTGGTCAGACAATACACGGGCAGTTCTGTCACTTTTAAGAAGACTGTTAATAATAGTATGTCCAGAGAAAATAAGTGGAGGTGAGAATATCAGAAACAACATCCTATAAATAACATGTAGGTGAGATGCATCAAATTGGGGGAGGATTTAGCAGAGGAAAGTTCAGGCCTTTACGAGGGTAATGTGATTTTACCCACAGGGTGCCCCATGAGAAGACTGCCTAAAATAGGTGAGGCTCAAAGAGCAAAGATTAAAGCATCTTACAACATAAATTCACCTGGAATGGGCATGCCCTAAAATGGAATGTCAATCACAAAAATATCTCAAGTGGAAGTTAGATAAACCATGTTAAAGATCTTCTAAGAAAGGTTCAAGAGTTGAGACTTTTAAGCACATTTACTGTGAAATGAAACAGATTCATGGCCCCCTCAAGTCTTTTCCTAACAATATTCTATGACCTGAAAACTTTCCTATCAGTGGAATAACACTGTGATTTCCAAGTTCGTTTCAGCCAAAACTGTTTTGTCTATGCAAGGGATCTACAAAGTGTCTGGAGCTCCATGATGAAAGATGCCATATAAACGAAAACGGTAATTTGAGTCATAATAAATAATAGTAATGATGATAAATGCCAGTGTCACTGAGAAGAAGCTGGCCTGAAATCTGGGAGCACAGAATGACCAGCTGTGAGCTGGAAATAATGTGTGTCCCAGCCAAGAGGATCCTCAGTGACTGAGACCACATTAACCTTTAAACCAAAGACCTGGAGCAAGCCTCTGATCTGGAGGTGTGAGCATTTAAAATGGAAGAAACTTTAGTACTTAATCCCTGAGCTTTAATGTCGCCTTGGGCTTATGAGACCTTTTCCCAGAAAGGTCAACGAGGAGCACATTGTCTTCCTCTTCCAACAGAGGAGAAAACTGAGAAGGTCAGGGGAAGAGCCAGATTTCCCAATTAGTGTTACAACTCCAAATGCAGTGCTCTTTCCACTCTCTGCTATACTCCAGACAATTCAGTGGAAGGACAGACTTCAGTAAAGAGCCAATTCGGATGAGAAAATGTTGAAATGGGATCATGTCCCTCAAGATACCTTGCTTAGCTGTTTTCCATCCATTTAAATGGGAAAAGTTCACTAGTAAAATCTTGGGCTGTTCCAGGAGGGAGAGGCCACTCTCTGATGTCTTAGATCTGCTCTCCAGAGTAAAGGAGCACACAGCAGGAGTCAGAAGAGTTCTGTGCAGTCACAGAGGACACTCCTCTAGGGCCTTGTCCAGCCTGAGGTCACAAAACCTAACTGCTACCAGAGGCCTGATTGATGCTGGTGACAGATTTGGCTTCTTTGTCCCCACACTAGTCCGAAGATCAGTCACCAAGAAGGGATCCTGCTCTCTTTCCCATGACTTTGACCTCAATTTCCACCACAAATAATAACTAACATAAGGCCTTGCTTATCTTTAGCTCTTACTTTTTTCTGTATTTTATCACTTTATTTTTATGATCTGTAGCTTTGTATTTGGCATGACAACATATTTCATCATTTGGAATTTATGCTGTTCCTCTTTTTGTATTTTATCATCTTTATGATTTCAACCTTTTAACTTGCCTAATTTAATTTTGTGCTTATCCTTTGAAACTAGTCTATTCTGAGTTGTTAAACATTTAATTTCTTTTTAAAAGAAATTAACTATTTCATCTTTATTAAATCATTCTCAATTTATGTCATTTTATCCCTCTGAAGTTTTTATTTCCTTAGTGGTATTTCTTAATAATTCTCATTTTATCTCTTCCATTTCATCATTTTAATATTGCTATTCTCTCAACCTTCTAAACTTGTTTGTGCTTATTTACTACTGATATTTTAATTTCTAAATGTTTAATTTACAGCATTTGAAATTAGTTTTCTCTCAATATTTCCTGTGTCCGATATTTGTTTTTCCATAGAATACAGTGCCTGTTTTTACACTAAAAAGAACCATGTACTATCACAAGAAGGGCTTCTCTCTCTCTCACTCGCTCGCTCTCTCTCTCTCTCGCTCGCTCTCCTTCTGAGTCTGACACTCACAAGAAGGGCTTCTCTCTCTCTCACTCGCTCGCTCTCTCTCTCTCTCGCTCGCTCTCCTTCTGCAAGTCTGACACAGTTACTAATGAATATTACTCCTACCATCCCCTCTCACTAGCTTTCTGACCTTGGGGACCTCATCTGGACCTTACTTCCCAAACTTTGAGAGTGCTGACTCTTTCCAACAGACCTCATCAGACAAAGCAATGACCTTTCCCATCATGCATTCCAAAGGCATGCAGAGGCTAAGTAAGGAAAAGAAAGACTCCAACCTTTTCTTCAGTTGATATTCTGTTCAGCTACAGTGACACCCTTATTTTAGGTGACCATAGAATCTCATAAAATATAATTGTGCATACATATTTCTCTGCAATACACATTAAAAAATAAATACAAATATATTGGTCTTAGCTGTGAAAAAAGTCATAGTTTGAGCCCTAAATTTGCCACTAAACCACCATGTGACTTGGGCAGTTATTTGCTTATCCTGGATGCCAATTCTCCCCTTCCGAAAAAAAAGTGTTGGACTAGATCACTTCTTCTGCTACTAACTGCCTTTATCTTTCTACTCAAAGAAACCATGACACTGACATAAATATGTATGGATACATTATAATTTACATCCAAATACATTGTAATTTCTAGCAAATATGAAAAAACATTTGCACCAAATATCAATGAAAAAAGTATTCTTGCAGGTGCCAACACCTCCCCAACCATACCTCATGGGTAAAAGAACAATGCACTACTATGGTAACATAAACGCTGGTCTTGTCAAGCTCAGTATATAACATACTTGCCATTGATGACTCCATCCGGATTTAGCATAGGAATGATCTTAAAAATGAAGTTTTCCCTCAAGAGCTGAGCCACAGGGTCATTGCTGACAAGGAACTCCAAGGTGCCCTTCATCACCCAACTGGCATTGCTCTCTCCAGGGTGAGCTCGAGCAGTGATCACCTGATACGGACGACGTCCTGCCGAAAAGAAGACAATGAAGAGGAAACCTAAATGCAGTTTCCATTTCCATCAGGATAGTCTCCAAGGGCCAGAGTTACACCTGATGGGCCTGAAGTTCTAAACAGGTTGACTGTTTCTAATACATATCTGATCTACATGTATCCGTTATCCATCTGCCTTCATAGTCTACAAGACTCAAGAAAGTATACAACTAAAGCTCAAGGAGTCTATCTAAAGTATAAGAACTTAGTGTTATGGGGGGAAAAGGCAAGAAGCAGATTTTAAATCAATTAACTTTCTGGAGTCCATAAGCATGATGCTGGATGTCACAGATCTGAGATTGAATCTTATCTTCATCACTTGCCAGCTGTGAAATTCAGGCAATTTTCTCTGAGGCTATTTCCTCTTCTGTGAAATGGGGACAATAATGATAACACCAAGTGGTTGTTAGAAAAATGAAAGGATGAGACTATAAAGGGCTAATTTTTTTGTCATTCAGTATGTTAACTACCTCGTCTTCACTCGTCATCTATGAGAAGGATGGTCCTTCTTGTCCCTTAGGCAAGTACTGAAGTGATGTGTTAGTGGTGTTATGATAGTAATATACATTGGGGCTGGGGATTTAGCTCAGTGGTTCGGTGGCCTGTCTTGCAAGATATATCTATAGATATATATCTCCATTTTATATATGTATGTATATATACATACAGGACCCACTGCTCACCCAGACACTTCACAGAACAGTGAAATACAGTACTGCAGACTCTGTCTTGGATCACAATACTTTCATCACTTTGCAAAGGGAGCCATCAGAGGGAAGGTATTGTCCTGAATAGAGTTTAGGGAGGGGACAATGATAACTGAAGGATAAGTTCATCTTCCTGCCTTTGTTGATATAACATCCTGGAACATCACAGCATTGAGACATCATCTGAGACCCTATCTGGACTCAAGTGTAAAAGTGTCTTGACTGAGTAATGATATGTGTCCCCCATACACTCAGGAAAGAAGCAGGGTTAGGGGCAGCATCATAACAGAAATTCACCATGTCTACTCTAACCACTTGTCCAATTCTGTGTTTGCACCTGACTCTTTCCCTTTTGTATCCTCATCCGGTTTCTTTATTGCTCCTAAATTTGCTCTAATGACAATTACTAAGTATTTGCAAAGTGTGAATATTTTAACGGCTAAAACAACCAAAAAGTCAATAAGCTAATCATTTTTTTCCAAAGAGTTCACATTTATTTCAATTTAGTTTATTGGTACATTCTAGGTATACAGTACAGTTGCATTCATTACTGGGATCTTGTACCTTTACATGACAGGTCTTGGTTCTCATTTTTTTCCCCTTGTCCCTACCCTCCTTTTCACCCCCTCCTCCCCTCCCCATTTACAAACACTTTAATTCCATTTTTTCATTTTCTCACATTTTTTTATTTTCCCTTATTCCCCTTCCCCTACCCTTCCCACTTTCCCTACACCTTTAGCCCTTTTCTTCCTATTCACATTGTTAATTATCCCATTAGGATCTTCAGTACTATTATAGTTTTTCACACCATAGAAACTATTCAGTATTTATACATGTGTGACTTATTTATTTCACTTAGGAGTATATCCTCTAAATGTATACATTTTCCTATGAATGAATGTAATTTCTCATTCTTTATGGCTGAGTAATATTCCATTTTATAGAAAAACTACATCTTCTTTATCCAGTTTCCAACTGATGGGCAAATGGGCTGTTTCCAAGTTTTAGCTATTACAAACTGTGACGCTATAAAAAGGTACACATATGTCACTGTGATATGATTCTTTTAATTCTTTTGGAAAGATACCCAGCAGAGCTAAGACTGGGTCAAATGGAACCTCTAGTCCTAGCTCTTTGAGGTATCACCATATTGATTTCCATAGTGGTTGCACCAGTCTGCACTTCCACCAACAATGGAGAAGTGTTCCTTTCTCCTGTAACCCCGCCAACATTTGTTATTGTGTGATTTCTTGATAGCAGCCATTTGTTGTGGGGTGAGATGGAATCTCAGTGCTGTTTTCATCTGCATCTCTCGAATGACCAGAGATGTGGAACATTTTTTCATATATTTACTTGCTGCTTTTACTTCTTTGTCTGAGAAATGTCTTCATTTCAGATGACCATTTCTGCATTGGGTCTTTATATTTGGGGGGGCTAACTGTTTTGAGTTCTTTATATATTCTAGATAATAGTCTTTTGTCTAGGAGCAGCTGGTAAAAATTTTTTCCCACATTGTAGGTTGTCTCTTAGTTCTGTTGATGCTTTCTTTTGCAGTGCAGAAGCCTTTTAATAAGATGAGATCCTACTTGTTGACTCTTTTTGCTAGTTCCCATGTAGCTGAGGATTTGTTCATAAAGTCTTTTCCAATGCAATGTCTTCCAGAGTTCTGCCTAACTTATCTTCCAGCAAGTTTAGTATTTCTGTTTTAAGATTTAGATCTTTAATCCACTTGGATTTTAATTTAGTGCATGGTGAAAGATAGGGGTCTAGTTTTAATTTTTGGCAGGTTGAGATCCAGTTTTTCCAACACCATTTATTAAAGAGGCTATCTTTCCTCCAGTGGGGATGATCAGCTCCTTTGTCAAAGATGAGGTAGCTGAGTACATCTGGAGTTCACATTTTTGAGTTAAACTTTTCTACTCTGAAAAGTAATTTCTCAGAACACAAACCGTGTATCAAATTATGCACAAAGAAAAACAGTAACTATAAATGAGAGAACTAAAGAAGAGATAATAGTAGAGACACAAATAATGAACATTTAAATTACTGAATTATACCAAGATTATCACCAAGACCAAAAGAAAAACTTCTATGTCTCTTCCACATTTCTGCTGACAGTCACTAATCTACTGAGGTCCATATTTAAGGGACACAGGTCGATGTATTTTTCTGACTATGATGAGAGCTGTTTGTTTCCACTCCTTCTAGGTCATCTGAATACCAGAGATAATATTCAGTTGTATTTTACTTAAGCAGGTGTCTTGAACATATTCCAGGAATTGCAGGAGGCACTGAGTAGAAAAACTTGAACAAATTATAGTCCTTGTTTTCTGAGAGGACATAGCATTTGTCAGCAGTGACATATATGCAAGCAAAGAAGGACAACTGAGCTAGGGAGGTGTACATGCAGCACCCAAAATAGATCTGACAGAGAAAGATAAGGACATTTCCAGAGCTGTGATGATATTCTGGGCCTTGTAGAATAAGTATCATCTCACCAGATAGAGAAGGTGAAAAGGATCTTTTAAGCAGGAAAAAGACACGCATAAGAATACAGGGTAAAGAGAGTCAATGCATTCGAAAAAGATAAGTTATGTGTGACTGAAACAAAGGGCTTGAGATGGTGGAACAGGAATTTACAAAAATAGGCTAGGGTCAAACTGGTAAGTCCCCCTCCTCATATAATTTTTTAGGGATTTAGATATTTCCTGTAGTTCAGACGTCCTCAACAACGGAGTCAGCCTGTCACTAGTATCCTGTGATCAGTAGTGGAATCCATTTCAGAATCATCAATTGCCAACGAAAAATGCAAATGTTGACTTACATTATATACAGCACAAACTGCTGGCTGTCTGTCCAGCAGTCTTTCAGTCCTTAAACACCAGAGCCCTGAATTGGTTGAGGACATTAATTCAGATTAAATTACTCAGCTTCACTGAACCTCTTGCAGGTAGACGTGGTCAATGAGATATAAGTGGGAGACATAAATGGTAGTCTCTCTATAAATCTTATTTAAAAGGATGGTGTCACCTTATAAATGCCTACTTGGTTTTATTTACTTTTTTGTCCTTTTCCTTTATTTCTTTCTCCTATCTTTCTCATAGATATGACAACTTCAGGTGAGGAAGCCACCTAAAGAGTAAAAGTCTTGCTAAACATGCTAAGCGTGTTGACCATAAAGGTAGAAAAAGCCAGGATTCTTGATAAATTTCTTAGGCAATGATACGTACCTTTACTGGCTTCTACAATACTTCTGGACATTTGAATTCAGTAACTGGTTATATTATTAGGCCACTGTGACCATATTTCTGCTACACATTATGAAATTCTAGCATATGAATACAAAGTTGGGTTTTAAGGCATCCCTACAGTAACATTACCTGGCATGACATGCAACTGGATGCACTTTCTGTATGGGCGAGAAAGAAGACAAAACAATGAGTTGAAAGGGAATGATATTTGCTATGAGTGTTCCAACAAAGAACAGCCAAGGACCACTGCTTTTAAAAACAGTGAACTTATGAAGGTTTTCATTGTGAAAAAGTCAAGTCAATGCTTGTGCTTTAGAAAAATCATTTTGACATTATTGTAGATAATAGATTTTCCTAATCCGAGACAGTTTGGCACGATAACTGGAGAATACCTTTTAGAGTGACATTTTCAGGATTCAAACTCCAGCCCCACTATTTTCCACCTGAGATGAATTATGGCAGTTTCTGAAGAAATTAAGTATTGGATTTTCTTAATTTGTCCAAGTTGCTGTAATAGAACATCACTGACTATTATAGCTTATAAACAACAGAAACTTACTGTTTATAGTTCTGGAGACTGAGAAGTCCATTATCAAGGTAGTGACCAATTTACTCTTTGGTGAGAGCCTCCTTCCTGATTCCCAGTTGCCTGTGCCTTCACACATGGCAGCGGAAACAAGGAAGGTCTTCAGGGTCTCCTATACAGGAACGAATCTTACTCATGAGGGCTCTATCTTGATGACCCAGATACCTCCAAAAAGGCTCCACTTCCTAATACCATCACTTTAGAGTTTAATTTCAGGGGAATTTTAATATTTGCTCCACAGAAGATTAGTGTTCTTCATGTGAGACTAACAATTTACTAACTGAAAGTTTGTGAGTACGCATGTTGGATACGTAGTTAGCTAACTGAGCAGAGCTGAAATCCCTAGAAATCAACTTTCCCACTGTGTCATTTGCTCACAGTCACTTTTACTCCTTCCAAAGCAAGCTGTGTTGGCATCCAATAAAAGCTTGT